TTAATTTAAGTGAGTGGGGCTTTTACCTTATGAAAAACAAAATTAAACCAAACATAAACCAAGTTTTTAAGGTAACAAACTCTTACAAGATCAGCCAAATATAAGAGATCTGCATTGGGAAGATATTTATGCAAAATAACAAAACTAAAAAAAAGGAGTGGACACCCTTCTTAACAATGGCATCAGTAGCCATGTTACATTAATTCCTTGAGAACATGCTTCAGATGAATATGGAGAAAGAGTCCTTGCAATCCATAATAAGAGTATTATGAGCATGATAAAGATTAGGGGCTCCAGTGAACAAATGAAAAGCAACTTGAAAAGTAAATGAATAGCCTATTGTTCATGCTAGCTTATAAGCTAATTTTGTCTTCATTAATTACGAATTTGTTTCATTTAGAGGAAATACAAAATTTTTTTTTTTTTTAAAGTTCAATTTCCTTTTCTTCTCTCTCTTCTGTCTTCTTCAAATCAAACAGGTTAGTTTAAAATCGACTAAGGTGATTTTCTTATATATACCTGTTCCGTCTCGCAAATTCCCCATATATGTTCACATTCAATGGAGGTTAAAAAGCGACAAATTCTCTGAAAAATATGATGAAAAATTCCTTCGAGAGTGGTCCATGGTTGGTACTAATTAGTAAAAGACAAATGTCCTCAGTTTTGTCGTCTTCTTGCTAGCTGTAAGCCTGCAGTAAACATTGAACATGTTGAGATGAGGCTTGAGAGGCTGCTCCTTTGCACATTATCACTAAAATATTATTAGAATTTGTCATTGCTCGGATCCTGAAATTCTTGACTACCTGCTGTATATTGTCAATTCCTGCGAAAATGTTCAGCCGGACTTGGTTGTCTTTTGCTTCGTTTGTTCAATTGTTTTTGGAGTTGGAATTTTATCTTGAAATAATCTTCTGATTTCCCAAATTTCTCTGTTAACTGTGTCTGCTCAGTTGATCCGATAAAAATTGTTGGTTGAACGTGGACTGAAGTTCACCTACAAAATTGTTAGAAAATTTATATGAGATCCGTAAATGGTTTGGTGGATGCAAGTTGCAAGAAGCACTTTGGAGTCCTAGGCAGTTACCATAGTACTTAAAAAAAAAAAAAAAAAACTGTCAACGTAATTTTCGAGTTAGTTTTATGCATATTAAGACTATTCTCTCTTTAAGAAATTCAAATGATGTATCTCTCACGTCAACTTAGTATATTAATAAAGGATATCAACTTTTTTAGGAGTTGACTTCAAAATTTGAATCTTAAATTTAACTTATAAAATAATACTTATTTATTAATAAATCGACTTGTACACGTCACATATGCAAATATGTATGAGTACATATGTCTAGTTATATATAATAAGTTTTTTATTTTATAATTGAAACTGTACCAATCTACAAAATGAGAATTATTAGATTGAAAGGATACTTTAATATCAAGAGACTCATTTTTCATCAAATGGTTTGGGTTTTACAAAATAGACTATACAATTTTTTTGTATTTGTATAAAATAAAATAAATATGAATTTTATATAAAATTAAAGAAAATCAAGACCGTCTAACACTTAAAATGTCATAAACAATAATAATAAAAAAAATTAAAATATTCTTAATGAAACAACACATAAGACTCGTTCAAAATATTTAAATAATTTTATAAGATATTATAACATTTAAAGTGTCAAAATATTCTAATTTTTACTTTTCTCATTTTATATGCGGTTTTATATTTTAGACAAATTAATTTTATGAAAAAAAAAAAAAATCTTCTCTCTTTTGGAATTTTGTGAAGTAAATGGATCAAAGAAAAAAAAATAAAGTTTCACGTGAGAAATGAGCCCATAAAACCTGGACTCGAAATTGAGCCCAATTCCATACGTGGCCTCCAGACTCTCCACTGTCCATTTACCAAAAACCCTAGTTTAAACCCGAAATTTACGCCGGCTGAAGAAACCCAAAAGCATCATCGCCAAATTCCAACAACATCGGGCACGCAACCTCCGACGCACGGCGTTGGGCGTTCTTAGCAAGCAGCGAGCCGGCGATGGGTTGCCTTTCAACCCTTATCGTCCGTTCATGAAGCTCAGAGCTCTTCCGCTTTCCTCACCCTACCCTCAATATCCATCTCTCAAAGCTCTCATCTTTCATTCCAATCCTCGGATGGCTCTAACCCAAACCGCAACCATCCACTCCGATCCACCCGAAAACGACGATGACCTCATCTGCGGCGATCCAGAACAACAGGGGGAAGAGGAAAACTTGTCTTCCTCTACAACTGAGAACACAGCGTTGTTAGAGGTGGCTCCTCCGGTGCGGTGCTTGAGCGGAGAGTCGCCGGCGGAGAAAGCATGGGCGCACTGGAACAAACTCGGCAGGCCAAAGCTGATTGTTGCCCCCATGGTAGACAACTCTGAGCTTCCGTTTCGAATGCTTTGTAGGAAGTACGGAGCGGAAGCTGCCTATACCCCCATGTTGCATTCGCGTATCTTTACAGAGAATGAGAAGTACCGCAATCAGGAGTTCACTACTTGCAAGGTGAAAATTTGGCATTCATAGTTATCATTATACTCAATCAAATGTTTAATTTGTTTCAGCTTCTTCTGTATCTAAGTTGATATAATGAATTGATTTGAGTCAATGCCGCGATCCCATTTTGGACATGGTTTATGTAGACTTGTTCTTCAATGCAATAAGGAAGGAAGAGTCACTTTTACTTGGTGAATTTTACAGGAGGACCGCCCATTATTTGTTCAGTTTTGTGCTAATGATCCTGATATATTACTGGAAGCTGCTCGAAGAGTAGAGCCTTATTGTGATTATGTTGACATTAATCTGGGGTAAGATACTGAGAGGCCAAAGTCTAAATCTTTGTGAATGGAGGTTTGTTTATGTGAAGGGTTAAGTTGTAGTATGTATATGAAATGTGATCTTATTGTTTGCGTGCAGGTGTCCTCAACGAATTGCCAGACGAGGAAATTATGGAGCTTTCTTGATGGATAACCTTCCTCTTGTAAAATCGTTGGTTGGAAAACTGGCTCTGAACCTTAATGTTCCTGTCTCTTGTAAAATCAGGGTATTTCCTAATTTACAGGATACGCTCAATTATGCAAAGATGCTAGAGGAAGCTGGTTGCTCTCTTTTGGCCGTTCATGGGCGAACCAGAGATGAGAAGGATGGGAAGAAATTCAGAGCTGACTGGAATGCCATTAAGGCTGTTAAAGATGCAGTTAGAATCCCAGTTCTTGCTAATGGAAACATACGTCATATGGATGATGTTTGGAACTGTTTGGCAGAGACTGGTGCAGATGGTGTGCTTTCAGCTGAGTCCCTTCTCGAGAATCCTGCTTTGTTTGCGGGTTTTCGAACAGCTGAATGGGTGGTGGGTAATGAAGAAAATAGTAGAGATGGAAATGTAGATCAGGCAGATCTGCTTGTGGAGTATTTGAAACTTTGTGAAAAATACCCTGTCCCCTGGCGAATGATTCGTGCTCATGTGCACAAAATGCTTGGAGAGTGGTTCAGGATTCAGCCGCATGTAAGAGATGATCTCAATGCACAGTCTAGACTAACATTTGAATTTCTTTATAGTTTGATTGATCGGCTAAGGGAGCTTGGTGTAAGAATTCCACTATATCAGAAGGATACTTGTGTGGAAAGAATTTCAGCAGATGGATTGTGAACCTGAATTACTGGTGATTAATACGGGGCTAGCCTATTGGATTGAAAGTGTGTAGAACGTGTAGAACTCTGGGAGAAGACATGAGATTGTGCTTTCAGGTCACTGCTAACCCTACAATCTCATATTTTGAAACATGTCAGATTAATGTAGCAGACTTGCAGCTATATAGTTGATCAACTGAAGAAATAGGGCCATTCAAGCTAAGAAAAATTACCCCTTAATACTTATTACTAGATTTTGATGGTTTCTTGTATTTTATACGTCCCTAAGATGATATCAGTAAAATTTTGTCAGAGTAGCAAGACCTTGATTTGAGTTGTTTCTGTAATGACATTTGAAATTTTTTTAATGAAAATTGTTTGCCATGCTGTGCCTGGCCTGATACATCCAATAAGCAAAGACGGGCTGAACCTTATTTTTTCATCACAAAGCTTGTCAATGCAATTAAAACAAAGTCATCATACAACAAGAATACCTAAAAATGGGAGGAAAACTACTACTCAACAAAATTAGTTTGAACTTTGCTGACTAAATACTCCCCATAAACAGCTCTTCCAAACTTCTTTGTCCCACCAGTTCTCTGTGTGCAGACTTCCAGAGGTTCCACCACTGCGTCAAAATTGGTCTGCTTGTGCAGAATGAATGCCCACAACCTTTTAGTACAAAGAATCATAGAAAAGGGGACGAAGAAACCAGCTGAATGAGATAGAAACATACCTCATAAAAGTAAGCAATGCAGACCCGGTATTTTGGGGAGTTGTTGATAACTTGATGTAGAGTTGATTCATATAAACCATTGGACAATATCTACGATTCCAAACAGAAAGATAAGGATGAACAGTTGAATGTCAAACAGAAATATGAAATTTATCATACCATTGCATACCTTCAACATGTCACCAATGTTGCAGACAAATGTCCCGGGAATAGGAGGAGCTGATATCCACTCACCGCATTTGTTTCTCACCTTCAACAAGTCAAGGTAAATTCTATGAAGAAGAGTGCAGAAATTTAAACTGAACACTGCAACATCATTTGAAAGCCTGACTCTAAGTATCAACCAACAACTGTGTCTGAAGTCTGAACTGCTTCACAGTGGAAACATAGAATTTCTAAAACTGGCAAAATATGCTAATTATAAAACGAGGCACAGTAAATGCATTGATGAAAGGCAAGATGGTCATAGAGCAGAAGGGTAAACCAGGAACAATGTTTCTTTGTAACCGTCAGTCATGCAACACAAGTATCAATGAAAAGAGTTCAAACAAGCAAATTTTCAGAAGAGCATCTGCATTTCATCTCTGTAAAGTAAAATTCTAACACCAGATATTGCCAAACAAGAAAGATTCAAGAAACAGAGAGGAAAACTTGATTGGAAATATTACTCATTTCACCACTATTTAACAGGAAGCTGACACTGAAGACAACTTTTCTTGATTTCCTAAGATTAAAAATTTGGTTGTAGATAGATACAGGGGTAAGATTGTACCTGAAGTGCAGTAATATCATCATCTTGATTAACCAACGTCAGCAAACCTACACATTAAAGGCCAACTGAGAATGGTATAGTTTATATAATATTTATTATGTTAAATATGATCTTAATTAAGAGAAGTTTTACCATAGTCAGTGTGTGCTCCACTAAAATTGTTCAGCCAGAAGACATACACAGAAGCATGGAAGAATAAGGAATAATTTCATTAGCCCACTAATAAGAGACAAGAAAAAAAAAAAAAAAAGATTTACACATTGCATTACCATCCAATATCATTTTCTGGCATGTGTTGGCCATTTCCAATCGTCAACACAGGGTAACCAATAAGACGCATCACCCAAAATGGATCTCCAGCAATTTCACCTTCAAATTCATTTGGTGAACCACCTAGTGCTAGAGCAATCCCACGCATGATCTTTCTTGAAAGGTCTGAAAGCACAAAGAAATTAAAAGTTAAAAAGTTTCCACCATACACTAGAAAGATTAAACAGGAAAACTTGGTGTAAGATAACATGCCTGTGCAAACACTAACGTACTCCTCCATCAGTGTTTTGACGTTCAGAGGATTGTGAGGCCTACAAGCTCAGAGGATAAAAGGACAGAAGAAAACTTATCATATTTCAAAGCCATCTATTATCCAATCAGTAAATACATCTTTGAAAAGCTACAGAATTTCAGAACTTCACAATCAGATATAAAGATTCTTGAAAATGTTAGTATGATGGTGGGTTAGAATTTGGCAAGTCATTTAATGTTGTGAGAAAAAGGGAGAGCAATTGATAACATCCATAAGAGAATTAAAGAACATCCATAAAAGAATTAAAAAGAAGAACTGTATGGTCAAAAGATTTTAGAGAAAAAGAAAATTAGAAAATCAAAGTCATGAAATTAACCAGTTAGGATTGGTAGAGAGGTAAGGAGTGATGTGAACATGCTAAAAACAAAGGTTCTAATCCCTCCATCACCATATCCACGTACCATTGATTACATCCTTCCATGGTTTTGCCAAGAGCTCCATACATCCCTTGTTTTACTTCTCGATAACACTGTTAGTTGAAAAATAATATGTATTAAATTATAAGGAAGTATATTATGCAGCAGTGGTCATCTACATTATTTAGTAACATTGTAAAAAAGCTATGTTTTTGAAGTCAAGCACACATACATGGAAAGTGACATCATAGCAAGTCTAGATAATATGAAATAATTTACCAAGAAAAGAACTGTAATGTGAAAATTAAAGAATCAAGCAGATATAGAGCATGTTTGGTGAAGCTTGTAAGTGCTTGACACTATTCATGTTTCTTAAGTTTAAATTTCTCTCTTAAAAACTTACATTTTTTAACTTCTTTTTAACCTTAAAAAGACCTTAAACAATGAATTTTGAAAAGCTTCAAACTTTTGCTTTTTCTAAACTTCCTTTTTACTCACTTCTTGCTCACTTCTTATTATTTCTAAAGCAACTTTTAAATTTTCCCTCCAATAAAAATTTAAACTTATGACTCATCAACAATACTAAGAAAGTAAAAGCTCCAAGAAGCTCCACCAAACAGGCCCATAGTTTGA